TCTAAGCTTTTTTTTTTTACAGAGTGTGTAATGGTTTGAGAAAGGAATGAAATGGGAAAGTTACCAAGTTTTTCTGACAGACTCAGTTTTCAGGGTTTGTCTTAAAAGTTATGTTTTCCCAAGAAAAAACAACAATAGACTGTGACATAACATTAAAAAAATCAAGACAGAAAATTAAAATTTTACATAAAATAATCTGTAACATTAAAAAAAAATGCCCTTCAAAATAATTTTCTTTATTTTTGGCTTTTTTTTTTTTAACTTATGATATCTACAACTAGTGGAAATACTGGGAAGCCACTTAAAATATATTTGTAATATTACAAGTTGTCTTGTTTTCAAGGAATCTTTTAACATAATAATTTTCAATGTTTCACCCCTGTTGCTTATTGCTTGCATTCGGTTCTTTAGATTTTCCTTTATAAATTCCCCTGAAAAATCCTTTTTTTAGCCTCCCCCTTCACATAAGTGTACTTTGATGTTTTATCCCAAAAGTTTTCAGAAACTTCTAATCAGTTTTAACTTTCCAACCATGGCTAATAATAAAGTTATTCTGGATGATAAATATGGGTTTTTTTCTAGTTACAGGAATGATTTTTTAATTATATGGGTCAGAATGTCAAGCAAGCACACTCATAAAAGAAATTTGTGCTTAAAATTGTTTAAGAATTGAATATTTATTTAAATAATATTATGAATAATATTTATACTAAATAAAATATTTGGTATAATGTTAATTTAGATCAGTAGATTTCATCACTATCGTTTTAAAAGTATTTTGGTTTTTCATCTACAAAAATATGGCTTATGTGAGGGATATATGGTTTACGATAAGGATTTTGATGTCCATCACCCTCCCAGTGTTGCAACCACGTTTAATTCCGTTTTATGGGATTTGATTTTTTTAGTTATCAGCACTTGCAAAAAGTTGTGTTTTTCTTTCAATCAGAGAAAAGAAATTACCGGGACATTTTCAGTTGTTTTGTTTTCCTACTGTACTTTGTAAGGCTCTCTCTCTCTCTCTCCCAAGTCCTCCAAAGGATCCATCCCCTCTGCCTTTGCCTCCCCAGCTGAGGGAGGTCCCTGGCTGATGCTGTGGCCCTGCAATGGTCCAAAGAAACTTCACGAGGTAGAGACACCAGTTTGTCTCAATACAAGCAGATTGTATACAGTTTTTCCAGGTCAGCAAAAGACAAAGGGCTGGGGAAAAAGATATGTGTTAAACTACAATGCAAAACCTGCCCTTTCCTCAGAAAGGGTGAACTTTCACTATGGAATTAATGGGCAAGTACAGAAATAGAAATACCGGGAGTTTTCTCTGAAGAATTGTGGGACAAGAAGGGAGGTGAAAGGTTCTCATTTTAAAAGAATTTTCAGTACAAATTTAATAAAGAAAAAAAAAATCACAATCTTAAAAATAAATGAGAAAGGCTGATTTTTTTAAATATCAGATCATAATTCTTTTCCAGCTAAGCATCATCCCATATGTTGTCAAACAATACAAGTTTCCAAGATTTTTCTCTTTATATTTCTGATGTGTATTACTTGAGGTTTGGTTTTCTTAAACTGATGTTTCAAAATTAAAATTTATGGTGAGCCTGAAATATTTAGCTGACTGACAAAAACCTCAAAACCACCCTGTTGTTTCCTCAGTAGCTTTCAATTTCCGTGGTGGAAGAAGTAATTTGAACTGCCATTGGACATAAAATTCAGGCAGAACTTACATATGTCTGTAGTAGTCTTATAATGAAGATAAAATGAAAAATATATCCACAGATGCCCACACCACAACAGTTTTGCCCTACTAGAAACACTCCAAGTGGTCAATAGATAGAGGCCTCTGTGGCTTAGCAGGGTTTTTCTATACAGCTACAGCAAGCCTGGGTCTCATTGTCCCCATCATACAGCTTTTGTGATGAAATTCATTTGACTTCAGTAATTAAGGAAGGTACATGGCAAAAGAAATAGAGACAAAAAAGGCTGAAGTGGCATGCCCACAGGTATAAAACTAACCACTGACTGGAGCCAGAATGTCCTTGCTTGCCAGCCAGGCCACTCCTTAGATATCACAGTAATTCTCCCTCCAAAGGTGGCTAATTTCAGGGGTGGGATATTATATGAAACACACCACTGGTCTGCCAGCCTCATTTCTAAGTGAAGTTTAACATCCTTGGCCTACTGAGTTCAGCAAATATGAAAAGGTACAGGGCAGCTTGGAGCATGAGCGAAGAGCGAGACAGGTTTTTGTCTCTTCCATATTTCAAATACATCATTAGAGGTTTAATGACTGACATAATTATGATACAGTGCTTGTGAGATTCCAGATCATTAACCTCCTCTTCCATGTGTAAAATGGAAAAAGTCTATGGTAACTATTAAAAGAACAATACACAGAAATAATTAATACTTATTAGACAAGTCACACTGAAAATATGCAAACATCAGCAGGTGCTGAGACTGCCTGTGGGTGTGCACAGGGAGCACAGCACAGCTGTGCAAGGCCCTACTGCCATCCCAGTAGAGTGGGATATCCCACCCTGCAGCAGTTGAACGTTGGAGGACTGTGATTTCTGTAGGTCCCCTGAGGTATCTGCCGATCCTAGATGGACACCCACATTTACACAATCTAGTGTCACTTCCATAGACTCTGGAATTACCTCTAGTTGCCTTTACACGTTGCATACTCATGGTCAAAATCTGCCTCTTCTTGCATAGACATGACAAAATCATTTCTCTGGTCCAAATTGTATTGAAAACATTGTTTTACTGACCAAAAGAGCTGTTGTCATCTTTATGTTGGTGTCCTAATAAGAGGAACTTGAGGACTGAATTCCCTTACATCTGGCCTGTGACAATCAGAGAGCTCTGGGACAGGGCCCTCTCCAGTGTTACTTCTCATCAGCTGGAAATAAATAGACTTAATAGAGAAGAAGTCAAGAAGGCATCACTGTCTCTCAGACATTCCACACAAGTAAATGGGGGGGCGAGGAGAAAATAGAAATTCCTGTGCACTTTCTTGGGTTTTTGAGATATTAACCTCAGACATGTTCTGCCAGCAGTTCCCAGCTAAGTCTCCCAGTGATGACAAATATTTCATCTCACTAAAGTAAGGCTTAGTGACTCTAAGCTGGGCATGCCCAGCTGGATCCTTCTGTTTGCTTAAGAGAAGTGTCCAGCTGGATCACCTAGAAATCACATCCAGCTTCAGATTTCTCTTAACTCCAAATTAAAGTTAGTCAGAGAACCTAGTTAATGCAGTCCACAGTCATCATGGGAACAGAGCTGCTGGTCAGCCTGTGCCAGTCTGTTCCAGGAGCCTTCAGGCAAGCACTGGGAATGCCTGTTTTCCGTACAGTCCTTCACTCTGATTAGTGTATCTGCCACAGCATAGGAGCTCAGTGAACTGGCCAAACATCTGGACAGCAGATCCAAGGAGGCTTAGCTCCTTCAGTCACCTGGCAATTTTGGTTAAAACCACTGTTTTCTGTCCCACTTCTATAGCACTCTTGTCCAGACGGAGGATCAGTTCATTGATCTCCAACATCCTTTTCCTCATCAGGGACACAAAAAAATAATAACAGGGATAAATAAGCACAAATGAGTTTGGTAAATCTGGACACCCTTGTTAGTCCTCTTGAAAGTAGCATCTCGTAAATGTCAGATAGCAGGAAGGCAGGACCTGCTTAAAGACCACATAAAAAGACATGTCTCACCCCAGACAAAAAGTTACTTATCCATTACCGTAAATGCACGTGAATTATTAACATTAATTTGAATACTTTACAGCTTACATTTTGTAAGCCTTAATTCACAATTTAATGAAAGGGTTCAGTATTAGTTGTGGCTTCAAGAAAGACCAACATAATTTCTCGAACTGCATATCTATAAATGGATAATACAAGTGTATTGCCACTTCATCTGAGCTCAAGAGTATGCCTGGAGAGTGAATTTCTCAGTCATATCCATGTATGACTCACTCATTTCATGGAGCCCTTTCAGAGCGTGACTTTGAGTTTTATTCTGGAAACACCTTAACCAAAACTGACCATCCACAGGGTCTCCTAATATGCTTCACCTCCTACAGCCTTTCAGTCCAGAGGACAACTTAGGGTTTATCTAAATAAAATACCCTGACTCTGTGTAATGTGAATGTCAGCCCTAAATGTTCTGCTGTGCAGATCTACTCTTTTGGCTCTACAGTTCATGCTAATATATATATATATATATATACTCTTGTGTTATTTCTGGTCAGTGTAATCTTGGCTTGGCTTGAGCCATATCCATAGTTCTGCAAAACACAGATTGTCAGACAGTACTATTCTGCCTATTGATGGTCAATAACTATAGAAAAGTGCCTGATTTTATTGCCTGTCAAGATTAGCAGCTGAAATAGTGCTGCTACAATCAGGCCATAATGCTGATGCCCAGTACTACAGAAGGCAGATTCCAAAGATTCTTGACAAGACTACCAACATCAGGCACAGCTGAAAAATGTTTCTGTACTCACTCCTGTATTCCTCTATTGGACTTTTTTTTCCCCAAGCCTTTTTAATGAAAGAAGGTCTTTTTCAGTTTTGTTTCAGCTTTAGGGTAAGTCAGTCCCTTGTAGTTTAAATAGCCTGTTGGGGACTATACTGAGTTGACCCCAGGCAGCAACTAAGCCCCCACCCCAGTTGCTTACTCAGTCTCTGCCAGAGGAATGGGGAAGAGAATCACAAGGGCAAAAGCAAGAAAAGCTCATAGGTTCACGCATAAAAACCACCTAATAAATAAAGGGGAGATAAAAGAGGAAAAAGAAAACTGATGCAAAGGCAATAACCTATGACCTCCCACCAGCAAACTGGTGCCCAGTCAGTCTCCAAGCAGTGCCCACTTTGGAAAAAACTCTTTTCCGCTTCCTGCAGTTTCAGCGCTGAGCATGATACTGTTTGATATGGAATATGATATCATATGGAAATAACAGGACAGTTTTGCTCACTTTAGGCTGGTTTTCCCAGCTGTGCCAAATCCCACCATGTTGCCACACTCCAGCTGCTCACTGAGAGAGTAAAGAGAAGGAAAGAAGGTGGTGATGCTGTAAAAACACTGTTCAGCAACAGTAGGTCACCAGTATGTTTTCTGTGCTGTTTTGGTTCCAGATCTGAAACATAGCCCAATACAGACTGTTAGAAAGCAAGATCCACCCCAGTCCGGTGTAGTACAAGAATTACATTATTTTTTGTTTTATTTAACACTCTTGAGTGGCACAGAAGTTTTCAACCAGGTGTTTTTAAAATTTTCCCAGAATTTTAATGCCTCAGTGAGAGTGCCATTTGCATCTTTGACTCACCTTTGCTCCCTTTGGCTTTGCCATACACAGACAGACCACTTCTTTCAATAGAGAAACTCACTCTGAGAGTTTGCTGACCCCAGGAGTTCTCAGGCACCTGAACTTTCAAGGAATTTCAGAAGAAGATGACAACAATCACCTGGGGAAGGCAGAGCCTATTTTGAGGGAAGAAAACAGCAGCACCCTTCTGGAAGCATTTTACCATGTCATAAGTCAAAGTTGACTGTGTTGAACACAGGAATCTGTCAGTAAGAGTAAAGGATGACACCAGATGTAAAAGGATATATTATAAATGATACATGAGATATCTGTCGTGTTGATGTTAAAATTAGAGCTGGTCTTTAATATTTCATAGAGGACAAAGCCATGTATGCTTTTGTAACTGAGTTCCTGCCACTGCACGATAGACAGTGACTGCTTCCTTACATCCCTCATGGAGACATAAGGTGGCATGTAATCATTTTCATAGGTGTTCTTGTCACTCAAGACAGCACAAAGTTTTAAGCCTATTTTTGCCTTCTCTCCTCATTTTTATGAGCTACATAAAGAGAACTGAGAAATTTCTCCACTTCTCAAGAAGTTTTCTATACCAATTTTAATTAGAACATTTGTGTTAGTGCCAGACAGTCAGAAAAAAGTTCAAGGCCAAAACCACACACTCAACAAGATCAACTAAGAATGTTTACTAAATCCTGCAGACCATCTCCACAAATCTTGTGAAAGCTGGCTTCCTAAATCTTGAGCTATTGAATATCAGGGTTGATTTAACTAGAGATATTAGTGGCCAGGTACAATGGCCACTACATAAAGCCCTTCCCTCAAAAGAAGTGTGAATCACCTTGTCCCTATTAATTGTACACAGGTAAAACTACAGCTCAATTCTGACAGGCTAAATGTGAGAGGTGAACCATTAGCATAAACAATGCACAAAGCAGCAACAAGACAGTTGTGAGAGTCACAGTTTAGCAGATCTGACTACCTGCGAGGAAGGAAAAAGAAAAAAAGAGGAAAGAGGATATGTTATCTTCTTCATCTTTTTCATGGAGAACGTTGCAGTTCTGTCCCACAAAAATTTTTCAGTGGGAAGCTTTTTTCAACCTGATCTCATTGCTTCTTAGAATTAAAAAAAAGTTAGTGTTTCCAAAAATGTTATTTTTAGCACACTGTGAATATTAAATGATCAATGGTTGATGTGATTTTTTAAATAAAATCTACTCTACCTGCCTGCTCCCAGGCTTTCCTGAATTGAAGAAAGCCTGAGTGTGTTGTGCAGTGTTCAATGTCATCACAAAAAGAAGTTTGATCAAAATAAATAGTTCCTAAGAACAAGTTAGTTGTGTAATTTGAGCTTTTTAGTGTCGATTGTAGCTGGAAACTGCTGTCAACAAATAAAATTCCTTTCTAATGTAGTGCTGGTCAACTTTTCACAGCATAAGGCAGATGTTGTGCCTTGGCAAATTATTGATTCACACCATGATGCACAGATGCATCCAACACAAATATAATTCAGTCACAAATAAATGCCTGGTAAATAGATGAAATTGAATCCTAAAATATTTTGTTCTTTTAGTAGACCGGCTTTGTTTCTCGATCAGTTTGCACATGTGATTCATGTGTTTCTTATTACTAGATAAAGGACTGAAATGGTTGCATGTAAAACCACATTTGTTCTGGAAAATAGAGCTCTTGGCATAACATGATGTGCCCAAAGTTTAAGTCTTTCAACATGAAGCCCATCTGTTCTAGATAACATAGGACTGAGTGGTGACTAAGATGTTTTTGCACCTTTGAAATCTCTTGGCCAATTCTGAATTGTTTTTGCCAAGAAAGCTGTAGTTTAAAATCTTAAAAGCTTTAAAATCAAATATATTTTAAAGTAAACTGAGTTATTCTAAATTATAAGTTTTCATTTAAAAAAATAAAAAGAAATTGCTTTCCTTTTTTAACTATCTTAGGTATTAAACATTGTAATTTCTTGACATAAATAAGGGGATGAAAGTGAACTTTATGAAAATTACATTTTTTTTAAAATCCAAGTTTTTAGCTCTAGCGTATTTTTAGCAGTAACAATGTAACCTGCCTCATTTTATAGGTAGAATTTTTTTAAATGAGCCTTTGCTAATAAAACATTTGCTAGTTTTGATGGAATAGAGTCACAGACAAGCCCATTTTAAATAGGAGATTAATCCTTGGTTTTCTTTTTAATTTTCTGAAGTATGACAAGCCAGTTTAATCACAAATTCAATAATGTGTGCCAAGATTTTTATTGTAAAGCTGTAAATGAACTTCTTTGTGTATCTCCTTGTACTTTCTCTTTTCAAAGGCTCATTGCAAAAAGATTTAATGCTACTAATGATAAATACAAATAAACCCCAAATGTCAACCAGGGACCTCCCTGGTGTCTCTTTCTCTTGCTTCTAACTAGGGGGCATAAGAAATTTGAGCACAGGGATTTAAAAGCAAACAGAGAAACCACTGGAGACCAGAGAGCAGACACTGGCACTTTCACTACAAGCTTGCACTGATAGATATTCCTGCAATAACTGTGCAACACTAAACCACCACTGCTCTCCTGCTGCTGCAGAGCAGTGAGTGGCAGCTGTGCTGCATCCCTGGGGCTGCTGAGGGTGTACAGAGTCTAATTAAAAAAAAACCTGTTGGCACCCCTAGCAGGTTACCTGAAGGAGTCAAAGGGAGATAAGCAACACCCAGTGAGCAGCCAGGTAACCTGGCTTGGTCCATCATCAGGCAGATGTCTGCAACAGTGACTGATGGTGGCATTCCAGCATGCTGGAGATGCCATGTCACCCATAATGGGGTCAGACTGTCCTCACCACAGCCTGGAGACCCTGATTAAAAAATACCAGGCTTGCTTTCCTCACCCAACTAAGACTGCCCTTGGGCACTACAGACAATCATTCAAGCCATGCTTTTGCCACCTGGATGACAGAGATCATTAGCACAACAAAAAACAGAATACAGGAACTGCTACATCGGATCAGACCAGTGTTTCACTAAGTCCTGCATCACAGCCCTGCCCACAGCCCATTCCACAGGCTTCAGAGGAAAGTGAGAGAAACCACACTGTTGGAATGCTGTGATGTAGGGCTTCCAGAAGGAAAATATGGCTGGTATGTCAACATGTCAACTCCCTCTCTCAACCTGAAAAATAAGGAATGCAGCTCTAGTGTTTAGGGTCACAGCTGCTGAAGCAGAAGGCAGGGAAGGAAGGAGTTTAGACACTACCTCACCTACCCATCACAGGTGCTTAAATTAGGCATTGTGAATGTCCTTCCTTGGTCCTACCATCTATTTTCTCTGCTTGTTGCATGTGATCAGTGATATTTTTCTTCCTCAGAGGAGTGAGATAAGAATAAAATTCTAAAAGATGTTCAAGTTTGCAAACATTTTTACCATTAGGAAAAATAAAGAAAATAAATACCAGAGACAGGAATATGTACCAGGAGATCTCAAAGCACTTCACATAAGATATTGAGAGGCATTTTCTCCATGTCATAAAGAAAGTTAACATTTCTTCCTGGATGCATAGTAAAACTCTTGTTAACTCTAAATGTCCCCCCTTCCCTATAAACATAGAATTTGTTTTGAAATTCCATCACTTATTTAGTACTGGAGACACATAGAATCACAAGTGGTTGGCTTGGGGGCCCATTATGTAGTTTGTGTTCTGTGTTTCTACACTGTAACTCTTGCTGGTTCCAGTTGTATGAATTACAACATCAGTTTTCTCACGAGCCCAAATGCAGCAATAAACATTCATAGCACCATGTACTAAGGCCAAGATTTTAAAACTAGTGGGAATCCAAATGCCTGATTTCAGGTGTTTAAACAGCTGGTTTTCTAAGCAGACAAAATTTGTGACAATTGATTGACCCTCCTTCAGGGGCTGAAAGTTGGATATTCAGCAAGGGATCCATCCAAAGTTATGGGTGAGCTTGAAAGACTTGACTTCCCAGATTGTATCTTTTGGGGGCACCAGTGGATAGCAGGCCAAAAAAGCTGCTTTTCATAGTAGATAGAAAAAACAAACTGAATTTCAGAAGGAAACAGCTCCTTTAATTCAAACTACGTATTACATACTACATACGTAAATCTCTTAGTTCAGCTTAAAGTTTGGTCCAATCCAGAGCAAACACAAGCTATCACTTAATGCTAATTGGAATCGGCATGATCTTTTCAGTATTCATGTCCCCAGACAGGAAGATGCTAATGAAAACAAGCTTTGAAATCAGCATTTAGCATGATTTCTGACTAGCAGAAGTGCAATTTTGCTGTTCATCCCAGCATTAACAGTGCAAACAAAAGCCATGCAATATGCCAAAGCCTTAAATGAGAGAGGAAAAAAGCAACACTCCAAATGCAAACCAAACAGACCTCTCCAGAACACACTAAGTTACTAACAGTAAGAATTTTTAAGCAATCTGGTTTTCATCCTGCTTGTCAGCAGAGATTTAAAGCAGTGGCACAAGATGACTCCCAGCATTAACCTTTCTGCTGCTTCTCCCTGCAAGACCCTTGCAGAGTTGCTACCTGCACTCCAGCCTTGCTCAATCCAGCAAAGTCACACAGCAATGTATTCATGTTGATTTGCAGATATCCCTCACCTGGCTCTGAACAGCTACACACAGGGGAGACTCCACAGACCCCAGCCCTTGCTGGGAAGTGGTCAGAGACCCTCCTTGATGTGGGACACCCCCTTTGATGTGGGACAACCCCTAGTACCTCATGAAGGTATGTTATGATGTCAGCAGGAAGCCAGGACAGAGGGAAGAGAGGAGATGGGTTTCCCCTTTAGCCTGGGATGTTTAGAAGGGAAGGAAGGAGGGAGGTGTAGGGGGTGAACATTAAACCCTGACCATTTACCACACCTGGCCAGAGTGGAATGGGTTGTGAAATTGAACCTAGAATTCTGGAGAATTCGGGAATGGGATGCTGGATCCTGTCACCCATGGGGGTGTCTCAACACTTATGGGACCTATAGGGATGTTGCCATGGCTGTGGGACCCACAGGAGTGTCACAGTAAGTGAGAACCCACAGGTGATGTCACAACGGGTATGGGACCCACAACGGATGTGAGACCCTTGGGGACCTCACAACATATGAGGGACTCTATGGGGTCATTGCAATGGGTGTGAAACACAGGCACAATTCCTTAGAATCACTGCCTCCTCCTCAACCCCAAACCAGTGTCTCCACGGGGGTGAACCCAAATCTGTCTGGTTTTTTTTCCAAAAACTAATGAGAAAAGTCCCAACTGAGAATTCTGGAGAAGTCTGAGTCCTGCTCCTGGCCAAAAAAAGGCTTTAAAAAGCTTAAAACCACCCATCTTGAACTTGGACAGATGACATTTCTTAAAATAAAAGCAAATAAAATAGGCTTTTCTTTTAAAAAAGATCAAAACAAACCAAGCAACCAAACAAAAAAAAACAACCACATCCCCCCACCCTAAAAAAAAAAAAGAAAAAAAACAAAAGGAGAGTTATTAAGATAATACTTTTAAAACTCTAGGTAAATACAGAAGGACTTTTCCTTAAAGTGAAGGGAATAAAAGGAGGTTTTTCCTTAAAAAACACCCATAAAATACAGGTATTTTTAAAGGGTTTTTTTCCTTCCCAAAAAATAGAATTCCAGTGCATAAGGGCTTTTCTCCTCTCTCCCCTTATCCTGGAAAAAAAGCCAAAATACATAAGAAAGATTTATTTTTTAGTCTCAAAATAATAAACAAATAATTAACTTTAAAAGGACTTTTTCATTTAGGAAAATTAAATCAGGGGATGGGAGTTCCCCTGAAAAAAAGCAGGAAATGAGGAGAAATGAGAAAATAAGGGAGAATTTCTTGAAAGTCCTAACATGCAGGGATTGAGGGTTTTTTCTTCTCTCCGCAGTAAATGCCATAAAATAACCCCAAAACTAAGGGAAGTCATGGAGGGTTTGTTTTTTGGTGGTTTGTTTTTTTTGGCAGGGGGGAGGCTGTTGCTCAGCAGAGAAGAAACCCAGAATCCCCCATCCTGAAATTCCTGAAATTTACTATTTTGGGAGTAAAAAAAACCCTGTGAAGTGATGAGGGATCCAGAGGTGTCTCCAGAACCCCAAAATTATTCATAAAGAGGCTTGTCTGTGCTTAAGAAAAAAAAAAGAAAGAAAGAATCTGGAGGAGCCAAAAATCCACAACCCGTGAACTCAAATACCCCTTTCTAAAAAATCCTGAGAGAGCTCAGAGAGCTTGGGTGGGCGGGAAGTTGGCAAATTCCCTATTTCCGTGCTTTTTTGATAAAAGAAGAAGCTGGATGAGGTAAACCCCAGCATTTTTAGGTGTTGGAGCTCATTTTCAGGCCCCGGTTCTTCTATTCATCGGAATCCAGGTGAGGGAACTTTTATTCTGATGAGGGTTTCAGTCATTCCCTGGAATCCTCTCTCTTTAAATTCCTTATATTTCATGGATTAAGAAAGCTTTCTCTCTTTAAATTACTTAAAAATGCATGAAAAAGGATAAAAACATCCTGATTTTATGCATTAAAAAAAGGGCAAACAATCATGTATTTGTGCACAAAAATGGCAAAAATCCTCAATTTGTGCACACAAAGGGCAAACACTTAAGATTCAATTAAATAAAAATTTATTAAAAATCAAAATGAATAGAAAATACATAAAAATCAAATTAAATTAAAAAGTCAAATAAATAGTCAATTAAATTAGAACTAAAAATTTAAAATTAAATAAAATAAAATTAAATTGAAAACTTCAATTAAAGTTCAATGATATTAAATTAAAAATAAAAAAATTAAATTAATAAACCACCAAAATTAAATTACATGAATACTGGAAAATAAATTAAAGATAATAAAATTAAAATGCCAACTTTCCAAATACTTCACTTAGTTAAAGAAGTGTTTAGAATAACACATTCCCCCTGCCTCCCACACAACATTCCTGGGAAAAGAGCCTGGATGGTGTTTCAAAGTGGGATTTTTTGCCTCCAGACCCTCATTCTTGCTTCGTTTTGCCTCCAGACCCTCATCACTTTCTGGGACTTTTTTGGGGGGATTGTGGTTTGGGGATTTTTTGTTGGTTTATCTTTTTTTAAATTTTCCCCGATTTTCACATTTTTTTTAGGGTCGAGGATGTTACCCTCTGGTGTTTTCCTCCTCCTGATTTTGGGTAAATTCTGAAAAATAGTTATAATTTTCATCCCTGTAGGGGAATGATGGATTGACTCATTTCTCCCCACTCCCTTCCCCCCTTTTCTTCTCCAGGATCCGTTGTGGACACCAACACCTCATCTGAAAAAGGTGAATTTGGCAGGTTTTGCCTTAAAAACCACTATTTCCACCTAAAACAAGCTTTCTCTAACCCCTATTATACCATTTTCCCATTATTTCTCCCCAAATCTATACGTTCCTTATGTAATCTCCATGGGGTAATTCCCTAACGCCCCAGTTTCACCTTGATCACATCGTAGCAGACAAACCCATTTTTAGGTATCCAAGAACACAGAAACCCCAAATTTGGCATGTTTCACTTCACTATCCATATAGTTAGGTGTTTTTTGAGGGGAGAGTTCCCAAATCCTGATTTTGCCACAGGGTCCCTGCTCTATCCCTACGGACCAGACCAGGGGGACCAGACGAATCCCAAACATGATGATGGAACATCTGAGAGGATCGCCCTCTTCACTCCCTTCACCTTCTATGGCAAAACCCATGAAACTCTCTTTGTAGGTCACTGAAAATTCAAGATTTTGGGGAATTTCCTCCATTTTTCCCAATTTTCCCTCTGTTTCTGCTTCATTTTTCACTTGTCTGTGTCCCTACCCCCACACTCCCTTCTCCAAATTCAACTCCATTTGAGTTCATAGAGGAGTTTGTTTTGGGGCATTGAAAAGTCTTCAGGTGGGTCTTGAGGGGGTTGGGGAGTACTGGAGGGTTTGGAGGGGTTTGGAGGGTCCTGTGGATCGTGGGTGTTGGGCGGGTGGTCCTTGGTGGTCCTGTGGGTGATGGGTGGTGAGAGGTCTTGTGGGTAGTAGGTCTTGGGGTGTTGGTGAGTGTTGTAGAGTCCTGAGTAGCAGGTTTTGGGAGGGTCCTGGAGGGGTGGGTCTTGATGGGGTTGGGGGGTGTTGGGTGCTTTTGTGGTTGGTGGGTTTTGGGGGGTTCTAGGGGCATTTCGGGGTCCTGTGAGAGAGCATTTCTATGGCTGGTGGGTCTTGGGGGGGAGGCCTGTGGGTGGTGGGCCTTAGGGGGTTGGTAGGTGTTGGGAAGTCCTGTAGGTGGTGAGTCTTGGGGGCCTTGTATAGTCCATGTCCTCACCCCAAGTCAAGATGATGCACCCCCAACCCCTGTTCCCATCCCTTCCCGGTGTCACCTGCAGGTGAACAACAATGGGGTGATCTCCTTTGATGAACCTGTCAGAGAATACACCCCCGATCCCTTCCCACTGGTGGATGGGCGCTCCTTCGTGGCCCCTTACTGGGCAGATGTCGACAACGTGCTGGGTGGGGATATCTTCTACCGTCAGACCACCAATGCGGTGCTGCTGGGGGACATCAGCCGGGACATCAAACAGTACTTCCCCGAAACCCTCTTCACTGCCACCTGGGCCTTTGTGGCCACCTGGGACCACGTGGCCTACTACGGCTCCACCTCCACAAAGGTGAGTCTGTGGCTGGGGCATGGAAGTCACTCATTGGCTCTTGTGACTCACTTGGTGGCCTTGGTGACCAACCTATCTTTGGTATCCATCACCCACCCTTTACTTCCACAGCCAATCCTTACCTCCATGACCAGTCCTTGACCTCTGTGACCTTTACCATAGGGTAACACCTTCCAGGCTGTCCTGACTACTGACTCCAAGACATTCTTCATCATCCTAAACTACTGGGACATCCAGTGGACCACAGGAGCGGCGAGTGACGGGGATGCTGAAACGGGGCTTGGAGGGATTGCAGCACATGTAGGTGGGGAGGGGGGGAGGAGGAGGAAAACGTTGTCCCACTCCATCTTCTGGGTATGATGATGAAGGTTAGGGATTGGCCTATCCCATCTTCTGAGGATGATGATGACAATGATGATGATGATGACAATGATGATGATGATGACAATGATGATGATGATGAAGACTAGGGATTGGCCCAAAATATTTTTAAGGGGAAGTCTAGGATGTCCTGTCCCATCTTCTGGAGATGATGATGAAGGTCAGAGGTTGGCCCATCCTATCTTCTGGGGAGGAGGATGATGAAGGTCAGAGGTTGGTCCAGTCCATTGTCCAGAGATAGTTATGATGAATGTCAGAGATTGGCCCACAGTGATTTGGGGGGAGATTGAGGTTGTCCCACCCATCTTCTGAAGAGGCTCATCATGATGGTGAAGGTCATGGATTTGATCCATAACATTTTTGAGGGCCACCAACAGTCAGTGCTCACCTCCTAACATAATTTTGGGGTCCCAACACCCCCTTGGGTGGGGTCAGTCCCCACAAATTCCCCCCAAATTTTCCAGGCGGGATTCAACAGCGGTGATGAAACCAATTTCTACAACATTCCCGGATCCCAAACAGATGCCATCATCAACATCACTGCCACCTCCAATGTCAATGTCCCAGGGCGCTGGGCCTTCCGGGTGGACAACTTCCAGTTGACGGGTGTGGACTCTCCCAAGGTGAACGAGGACAGTGACTGCTGGTTGTAAGTTGGAATTTTGGGGAGGAAAATTGGGTATTTCAAGGAAAAGTGGGAACCTGGGGGGATAATTTGGGAGTTAGAGAGAAAAAGTGGGGATTTTGGGGGATAATTTGTGATTTTGGGAGGAAAATTAGGGATTTTGGGAAAAGATGGTGAATTTGTTCAGGGAAATTGGGAATTTGGGGTGAAAAGTGAGTATTTGGACATGGAATATTGAGAATTTGGGGGGGGAAAGTGGGGATTTTATGGAATAATTTTAGAATTTGGGGCAAAATTGTGAATTCTGGGGGGAATACTGGGGAATTTTTTTAA